AGCTACGAATACGCTCTACGAATATCATACACAATATAAAGCTGAAACTTACCCGTTTGGTCAAAGGAACCTCTACAGGTACCGGAACAACTCCAGCTAATATACAGCCGTAAAATGCAGATAGGAACGCCAATGGCTCCGTATTCGGATAGATTAACGCGACTCTGTCACCTGGCTTTACACATTGGGATCTAAAGCGATAATTCTTAGATTTGACTAATTTGTTCAAAACTGGGAAATAACTACCTTGGCATTATCTTTTCCTCCTGATATCGTCTTGTTCAACAACATGAATGCCACCTTATTAGCTCTACTCAGCAACTTCCCTGAAAAAGGAATGCTGACAACTCTCCCTTCAAGCCATAATGAAGTGACAGGTTTAGTTATCACTACCATGAGTAAAAACATAATCAACCTCACTCTCGAATCTATTCACATATTATACAACAAATAATTCACTGGACAACACTACTTCCCACTACTCTTGAGGTATAGAAAATTAATGCAAAAAAGAGAAAAAGAATTTGGGTAGAAAGGAAAAATTGCATTAAAGCCTTACCATAGGTGATACTCTGACTGGGTCGACCAGCTTGATCAAGCACCATACCCGCCACACTTTTGGGAGTCGACGTGCCATATCGATGAAGCGCGCTGAAATCTCACTCATTTCAAACACTTCTAAAGGATTATATTATTAATTCATTTAATAAGATTTCAAAGCAAAGAACTGAAAATTGCTCAGTAAGGAAGGACTAATGTAAAAATGGAAATACAGATTCTAGGAATTCGAAAAATTAAAGGTAAACTATTCGTAATGAATAAATAGTAAGGAAAAATCGTAAGAAGTTGGGTAATAAAGGAGGAATGAGAAGTATGTCGCGGAAACTGTAGGCGATTTCTCTGTTGTATATAATATGGAATGTAAGGGTTGCTAGAGCAGCACGCTAAAAAAAAACGCGCAGCTAGGTTGCTTCGGCTTCCAGAAAGTTGCGCCAGTGGACTATCTGTGTTAGAGCAACAATGACTTATTGGGGTCTCTTTCTCTTCCTTGATTGGCTCCTTCTCACTCCACGTCTATGGCTCGATTAAAATCTCCTCTGATCGTGAGCTCTTTGGCTCATTTCACTGTACGGAATTTATCGCTCAGTCTGAAGCTCGCAATTGTGCTCTGACTCCGAATAAGACTTTGATTCGAAGAATTTCAGGCTAATTCCATTTGTGGCTCATTTGCCGCTTCACTCGATATCAGAGATGCCTTTGGAATTTTTGCTTGTAACTCAATAAAAAATTAGTGCTCATGACCGATATTTGGTGGAAAGAGGATATGTTCCGATACCTACTTAGACACCTCAACCGCTTGACAAAAAATCTATTTCAAAGCATAAGAATCGAATAGATCAGACTTTTCAAGATCTAATAGATCAGATTTTCCTGGGGCATTGCTTGACGAGAATGCGGTAAGATTCGAAAAGAATAATTATTGATGGATGTGTTTTAGTGCTGTTGCGACAATATAATTACTCATTAAGCAGCAGAACGATGTTTTCATCACATAAAATAGTACGATCATGAATCTCTCGCGTAAAACAGAGATTTCTGGAAAACATCCCTTCAACTAACACTAGTACGGGCACCATGTCTAGCTCTTGGAATGATTTTGTGTCGCTGCACCTCGCACCTGTCACGACACAGGACGTCATCTGAAGCTGGCCCTCTGGCCGAGGAGCAGCCGGGTCGATCATCTTTGCGACCGCTTAAACAGACCTTTGAAGTATCTTTTTATCATTTACCTATCAAATAAACAGCATAAAAAAGCATATGACATTCAAACTGAGTTAAAGATTTGTTCTAAAAAAGACAGCAATGGCATACCACGAAGGGTCACGGGCTCTGTCACAATTTTGCTACTGAAAAAGGAATGAACGGCTAATGTTATCGGATCCTATGAATGCGACCACGCATACTCCTTTGTGCAAACAACACAGCTTCTAGGTATAAGTTTTCTCTTTAACTCAACCAAATAGGTAGAGGGATCAATCGATATCAAAAAACTCTTCGCATGGAGATGGTTGATTCGCTTATGCACTTCTGTATGATGCAAGTCACTAGCAGGCGTGCAACTCTGGCTTCGAATACAGTTGAAATACCGTTTGAATACCCTGCGTACGCCATGGTATCGGCGTCCGTGGTTGGCATCTTCATAGACGTTAAAATTTTACGGCAGTTGGATGGCCATGCTGAGCATAATCCACAGTTATTGATCTGTTTCCCTTGTCGATTCTAGACAAAGAAAAGATACATGCAGTGGAAGAAAAATGCGGCCGAGTGGGAAGAGTGCACCAGAGTGCACCCTTCCCACTGGCGCATTTTCGCAATCAGATTCCCTTCACTTTTAGAATGGAATACGTCATTGTTTGAGGCCAGTTTATTCGATTCAAATGCTCAAAGGCGTCAGGATCTTTGATCAATCACAAAAAAAAAAAAAACAACAGAATCTTTCTCACACCACACATACCGTTATCAGTAAATTTACTCTTTACAATTTTGTGATCTAGTTCCGGGCTGGAGGGGGGGGGGATCCATTGGCTTCCCCCAGTCTCAAGGTAAGGACTGAGAAGCGCAACTCAGATATGTAGTCGACTCGTTCATACTTCCATAAGTATCGGCCGGAAATGCGGTCCGGAATCTGAGTGCTTTCAAGTTCCTGCCCACCGTGCATCAGTAAACGAGTTCTTGGTGGAAAGGAACCTTGCAGCACCCCCCCCCCCCCCCCCCCCCCCCCTTGACTAAGGTTGGCATAGCTCCAGGAACGAAGTGTGCAGAGAATGGTGGTACGATGTGAGCAGATGTGTGGGATGCTGGACATCACCGGTCTTATAAAGGTATATCCCTAAGGAGTCGTTTTCTGGGGCATAATGCTAATAGCCCCGAAGGGCATCGTTATGGGTACCTCAGTGCTCGTTCGGCGGCAGAAGGCAAGAGTTGGCGAACGAGTTGCAGGGCGTGATGTGCGATGTAGGACGTGCAGTGGGACACTCTATTTAACTTGACCGCGAAATCCCTATAGTACGACGCGACTCGTCCGCTGCCTTCTTGCCGCGCGACGGGCCTCCTGGGGAGTACCCCTCTCTAGTACTACGGATAAGATAGCAAGGAGCGCCTCCCCCCCCCCCCAGCAACTGGATTTTCGACCTTACAACTAATAGGCATTTACCTACGCACTACATTCCATTAGTTTTGGTTTACTATGTCGCGCACACAAAACAACTTCCCCTGACAATCCATGTCACTCGGTTTTAACACATGTCGCCTGCTAAAACGAATATTCCAACACGACACCTGTTCGTACGATAAAATTCTGCAGAACATAAGAGTGATATGTTTTCTTTCGACTCAATCCTACAAATATTTCGACAAAACTTAGTGGAAAAACACGCGTTTGACATCGCTGTCTGGACAGAAACTCAATAAAATGTCATTGTTCCCATTGCACGACACCTCAAAAATGCTACGCGCAAGTGGACTCATTCAGCACTGGAATATTACATATCACCGAGAGTCCTCTTGAAGAGACCGCCTCCTTAATTTACGTGGTAAAAATGACAAAGGGCACAGCTTCCGCATAGTACAATCATTTTCCAGGATACGCCACGCATTATACCTTCAGAATCGTGGGGGCATTTTAATGCGATCTGGACAAAAGAGCGACTTGCGGGGGCAGCCAATGTGATAGCTCGTGTTTTTGCCCTTCGAGACAAGCTTGTGGTATACAATCGACCCCCAAGAGACTGAAGGCCAGCTTGACCTCGGCGAATCCGAGCCAGGATTTGACACATGGATCAAGCGCGTGTGAAGTGGCGCCACACCATTACATCTTCCCCTCCCAATGTCTCCTTAGACCGGCACAAATGGTTGTCGCAGTTGCTGATTGTTTCGCTGACCATTTTCGTTTGGGATGCGCCACGCATTCAACATCTTCTCGAAGTTGCAAGAGTAGCGGTTCGGTTTGGCTTCGCTTCAGCGGCTAGGTTTTGTGAAGCGGGTGGATTATGAGTAGCATTTGTGGACTTGTGCTGAATCCGCATAGGGGTTTTCGCTCGCAGTACTTTCAAGATCCTGTGGTGTATTTACGAAAGTCTTTTCTTCGAAGAATATCAAGTGCATTGGGAGGGGAAGATGTAATGGTGTGGCGCCACTTCACACGCGCTTGATCCATGTGTCAAATCCTGGCTCGGATTCGCCGAGGTCAAGCTGGCCTTCAGTCTCTTGGGGGTCGATTGTATACCACAAGCTTGTCTCGAAGGGTAAAAACACGAGCTATCACATTGGCTGCCTCCGCAAGTCGCTCTTTTGTCCAGATCGCATTGAAATGCCCCCATGATTCTGAAGGTATAATGCGTGGCGTATCCTGGAAAATGATTGTACTATGCGGAAGCAGTGCCCTTGGTCATTTTTACCGCGTAAATTAAGGAGGCGGTCTCTTCAAGAGGAGTCGGTGATATGTAATATTCCAGTGCTGAATGAGTCCATTTGCGCGTAGCATTTTTGAGGTGTCGTGCAGTGGGAACGATGACATTTTATTGAGTTTCTGTCCAGACAGCGATGTCAAACGCGTGTTTTTCCACTAAGTTTTGTCGAAATATTTGTAGATTGAGTCGAAACAAAACATATCACTCTTATGCTCTGCGGAATTTTATCGTACGAACAGGTGTCGTGTTGGAATATTCGTTTTAGCAGGCGACATGTGTTAAAACCGAGTGACATGGATTGTCAGGAGAAGTT